CCCTTTCACGAATACGGCCCACTCGACTGGGAGTGAAGATATTCGACTCTTCATTTCAAGTAAAAATGCATGGCTCACTCTGTGGGTGGTTCTGAGCCTGTTCCTGGTTATCTCGATGAACGCACTCCTTTTCCAGGGTATGGAATTCTTTCAAAAACTTTAAGCTTGTGAATGTTCTCTTATCAATAATGGTAATCATCTGCTGTGGTAGAGTGGGAATTAAGTTGTAATACAGCTGCGTATTACTAGTTAAAAGCTAGTGTCAGTAATCATCTGTTGACATAACTTACTTCGAAATTCTTTCTTTTTGGTCACGATTTCTCGCTAGGTGTTTCAAAATGGGGGCAGTAAGTGGCAATTCAGTTGTGCTCGATGGTGCTTTAGTCGCCGGTCACCTGGGGGTTTATCTCTGCTGTTGATTGAAAGTTCCGACAGGGAATTCCCAAATGCTCACGCATTGAATGTTCGCAATGGATTGGTCATTTTTGCCCACATTCAGTTCAATAACTGGGTCTAATGGGTAGATTTACCAGTTGAAATTGGTAGCTGATGGGGTATAGCCCAGTCCAAGCTATTACCAAATCCTACTAGTTTCTCAGATCTACCCAGAAACTAGCCCAACAATCCTATCTGAAGGCTAGGACCTTTCATGTCAGAACTTTCAATGGATTTCATTTCCTAAAAAGTTTTGACCCAGAAGATTCTCGGCCTCAGGACAGGGCTGCTTCACTGTGTCGATTTTCATTTCGTCTCTATGTAACGGAACCTCCCCATCCTCCTCCGGCGGCTTGGACAAGTCTCAGCTTTTCTGCGCTTATGATGGAATCGATTCCGAGCACAAACTCTGCCTGAGGTAGAGAATGACGTACATGGTTGCTAATTATGTGGCTCGGACTTTAGACTCCGCGATAAATTGATATCAAAGTGAAACACTTATGCGATAAGTTTTTGGACTGAGCCGCTTTGAAGGTAAGGGTCGAAGGGCGCAGAACATTCCATGGAAGTCATGGATTCTTTGCTAGCTTAGCTTGGTGAAAAAAAGTTTTGAACGAAATGTGACATTTCGTTCATAACTTTTTTCCACCAAGCTAAGTCACAGTCAGTCAGAACTAAACGGAACAGTTTGCGGATATTCTAATCCTCTGATAAGACCTCCCATGACGTGACTTCATGGAAAAGAAAGATCCGGAACTGAACGGAACTACTCTCAGAAGGAGCTGTAGATTTGTTTGTGACTTTGCCTTATAAGAAAGGGTTTACCAAAAAAAAGTCAGCAATAAACGGATCTACTTTGTGGCTTTTCATTTTGATTCGCTTATAAGACCTTTTTTATCAGAATTGGCCAAGATTCCAGATAATAGGCTTTTCCATTAGTTTGGGGGATTTCGTTCTGGGAAGACTGTATAAATAGGCCAAGAAATAGCAATCCTTATCCTCATGCAGACTTCCCAGAATTTTGCAGTTTGCTGCACCTTTTAATCTGGGATTAAGCTTGGGGTCCTTCTCAGTACAACTTTTTCTCAGCGTTCTTCCTATATATACATATTTAGCATTAGCTTTCTCTGCTGCCTAGAAAGCTACTCGGTTTGGGGGTTTTGAGTTGAATCATTGGCTATTTTCAATCTAACTTGCGATTCTCTTTATTTCATTCTTTTGAAAATCCGACACCTTCTACTCCCACTCTCTTTGAACATTGCCATCTTCCTAAATGAGCTGGAACACACATGAGTCGGTCTTCCTAAATGGGCAGACCCATGTGCCGAGGATCAGATCCGGTCAAAATAAATGGAACCTTCCACCCGGAGGTATCGAAGGTATGGTTGGTCTGGGCTGGATCTGCTCCTCGGGTCCTATATGTACTTGCGGATTAGTTGTTAGTACCGTTCCCATCCGGAATGTTAGTTCACAGTTCTTCTTGTCTAAATGTTCAAGGTCATCTGTGTTCTATTGCCTTGATTTCAGGATATCTAGAAGGGATATTCTCCCCAACCCCATTCCATCTCCCTGCCAAAAATTAGAGACGAGATCGGGAAAGTTGCGCTCCTGCTTTTTCATCAATGACGAGACAAAAACGCTGACCTCAGTTGCTGACAAGATGGATATTAATTCATTTTCACTTGATTACATCCAAAACTAGGGCGGAGGAGGGGAAGTGGGAAGTGGCACACTTCACCACGCACGCATGGTCACGGGTTCGAATCCAGGATCAATATCCGCCTCTGGGGTCGGTTAATTGGTCTCAGACTTGTCTGGGAGGGTAAAAGCACTGACTTGTACATCGGCTGGCCACCACAATTCATTGTATAGGCCACAAATGCATTCAATGCGCCACTACGATTCTGAATGGAAGTCGAGTATGTGGGCGCTTCCCTCAGTCGGGATTGTTTCACGCCCCAAGACTTTATCTTTATCTTTACGTCCAGAACTTAAAGTGAATTGGGAGTATTTATTCGGTAGATTGAAATGAATGAATACTGAAGGCAGTCCTGAGTGTTCAATGTAAGTTGACCTTTAAAGTAATTGAATACATTCAGTTCATGTCCGCAAATTCGAGTTTATGCTTTCCGATGTTATTAACATATGGAAATGAATACTCGAAGTGGACGATTTGAGAGTATGAAGTACTCAACAATAATCCTTTCTACGAAGCTGTGAGCTCAGAATTTCGTTTGATTTCATGGTCTCGTCTTAAAATCGGTTCCTCTACATTCATCCGTTGGATTGGAAGTAAATGTCAACTACAGAGAACGCTCTAGGGGCAAAATGGAAAAAGCTGAAGATTTTAATCCGAGATTAGACATTTTCTGACAAGCGTTGAGCATGTCATGCATAAAGCTGCACTCAATCGGATAGCAATCCTAAATGGCAGATCCAATGTGATGTCAGAGGGATCAGAATATGCCTTTAATTAGTAGAATTACTGGAAAGGATTGCTTGACGAGATATCCGCCTATTGTCTTTCACAGATTACGGTAAGTGGAAACTAGCAGGTGACATTATTCCCGAGAAAAATTTCTGGTTGATTTCATTCATTCTTGGACCCGAGCGCTAAGTAGAGGCAGACTTGGCGATGAGCGTATGGGCGGGGACTCCGCTCACAATCTCTTCATTGGAAAATCTCTATTCCTCTCTCGAGGTAGAAGACATTTTGAACTTGAGACAGTAGTGATATCATTCCAACTTCTATGCTATTAATACTATAGGGTACTGTAAACACAGCAACAAATAGTAGCACAGTAATAATAGTTGTAGTAACACAGTGGTGCGTTTGAGTCTTAAAAAAAATTTTTGCTCCGCCTCCTTTTCAATTCAGGCGTTGCTATTTCTCCATTAATAGCGTGCTGTGAATTCTTCCCTTCCTTAAATTCCTGTGCTAATCTACGATTGATATTTTTCGTTTTTAGATTTGTATTATCATTTATCATCTATTATATGATTCACACAGATAGCACGGGAATCGAACCCCCCCCCCCCCCCCCGTATCATGTTCGATCTGGCCAACAAGGACATCCATCCGTACGAGGTCGGCTAATTGTTACCAAACTAGTCTGGGAGATTAGAAGGCGCTGAGTTGTACATCAGCTGTACAAATGTAAAAGCCACGTACTCATTCAATCCGCCGCTACGAATCGGAGAGGATGTAAGGTGCGTGGGCGCATCCCCGCATCACCACCCTTTAACATTTGGTGCAACCAACTCCATTATTCCTGGCTCGAAACCGCCAATTGTTTTTGACGACTTCGACTGATTCCGCTTGCTTTTTTCTAGGCACACTTTTTCCTCCTATTTGTAGTTTTGTTGACTATTAACCTATCACGAAAGACTTAAGGAACTTAGTTGGCCATGACAGGTATCGGGCCGGATCTGATCCCCGGGTCATACGTATGATAGTGCGTCACGAAGCCCTAAATACATACGTCACCTACATTCCTCGTTGCTTTAATCAATCTAATTGCATTCTGCGCTCTCGGGGTTCTATGAGAAATTCAATAGCTGGTTCTGGTGCTTACTACTTTTCTTCCTTTAGCTCATTTATCCATGTTGATGTTTCTTGTCGTTGTTGTTTTTGTTTTTTAGGGTCTTCTTTTCCTGTTCTCACTGTGTTTATCTTCTCTAGCAGTGGTAAACAAGGATATTCTATGAGTGAATACATAAATAGGTAGATTAGCGAATAAATAAATGCTGATATTTTCTACTCATGGATGGAATCTAGGAAGTAGCGCTTAGGGGCACGCTATCGTACGTATGTCATGGAGTTGCGCCCCAGACCAACACTTTCTCATGCCACCCAAGCCTTCCATCCTCCCGGGGTCGGATAGTTATTACCAGGACCCTTTGAAAGATAGAAAATATCGACCCATACATAACGCTAAAACGCTGTTGAATGCAAATTAAAGGAATGGCGCATTCCAAGAACAGATTTGGAGAAAAAACTTTGTCAAACAGACTAAAAAATTTCAATTTTCCATCCCCCTGGCCCTATACGTTCGCCGTTGAACACGCCTTTCTGCAGATTGTTGAGATTTTGCATAACTGACTTAATCTTGTCTGATCTTTTGATATATGAATGACAAACCAGTAACTTTTTTCACTGTAAATAAGCATTGTTTACTGTTGCATTTCCGGAACAAGGTCCCGTTTTCTCTACGCCAGGTCGATGTTTGTGCAAACAAACACAGATGTTGTTATCTATCACTTCGCGCTGATACGTATCGTCTCTATTTGATGTCAGTTTTGCTGTTGGGGAAAAAATCCACCCCCTTCCGTTCAGTTATCGATTTCTCGTTTACTTGAATGTCGAATTTGTTCGTTTGTGAGGAGCATTTGTGCGATTAGGGCTCAGAATGAATGTAATTGAAGGAAACCCATACACACGTGAACTGGTGCTCGTGGGCTAGTGGGCGTGAGCTGACGACGACGACGACGACGACGACGGAGACTTTGCTTCTGCCTGCCTGCCTGCTCCTAACCGCCACGGCCACGGCCATAATAACATGCGAATGACGGTGTGGAAGTCGTCGTTCGACATGTTTTCCCTATTCATTCTTCTGTTATTCTTACCGGATTCCCTCGATACACATCCATTACAAAACGATTTTTTGGATTCTTCAACACGGAGGTAGGCGCTCACGTCACCTTTTTTAGTAGTTGCTATGTGGCTTGTTTTTGTTTACGCGCCACTCCGCTGTAACAGCATCATCACAAGTCACATGGTAGTCGAGTTATTGACGGCACTTGCCTCTTTGACTACGACGAATCCAAGCAGGACTTGCTTTTTCCGTTTCCAGGGCTTATCCTTAACTCTGTCAAGATTAAAATTAGTAGAAATGGTGTAACGGATTGGAACGATTTCTTTTAGTGTTGGTTCGAGTTCGAATCCCAACTGGGGCGGTGTATTTTTTTGTAATTTTATACCTCTAAGGTGATTTCCTGTACTTCTTGGTTTTAGTATTTATCAGTCCGAATCGCCTGATTCTTTTCCTTCTTTTTTGAATCCCACTCCAAACTGCGGCTGTCAAAAAACGTGGAGGGCAGTGTCACAAATGGGAATTTTTTAATTTTTATCCGTCCCATTTTGGATCACTTTGTTGCCATCCTATAGACTTTCCTGACCCTTTACACCTAATCCTTTTTCCTTCCCCAGCCACTAATTGGTTCAACGGCCCAATTCAGGGCCCACAGCTTTCTTATATTTCCTTTTCTCTTTTATTTCCTCACTGTTTTTGGAGTGGATTCAAAGGGTTTAGAAGAATCTAAGTTGGATTTTCCCATCATGTTGACTTTATTATACTACGAAGCTCCTCATTACCAGTATACCAATATATTACCCTTCCTTCTGTCTCTAGAGAATATATGTAACTACGATAGGGAAGGCCCATCTCACTTCTCTTTCTGAAGTGCGACTCATTTCTGTAAGATTAGATTTGGAGTATGCCGCTTTCAGTGAGTTCTTTTCATCACACCCAAAGTTTTGTCCTAATTCATACCTACCCTCTACCTTTTTCCCATCTCCTAGGGCCATTTAATTCTTTGCGTTCATGTTTATGTTTACTACATGTTTACTACATGTCCAACATGTACAATTTAAAGATGGTAATAGGAGCGAATTCCTGGGAATCGATACCCTGTGACTCTTCCCCACTGTGGTGCCACTAGTTACCTGGTCTTATAGTTAGACTCAACACATAAGGTTTGATATTTGCCTGTGGGAATTTTTGTCTGCTCTGGGAAAGTCTGTCTGTCTGCTTTCCATTACAGTGTCCAAACTCAAATTTACTGCTATCACATATTCGCTGTTCTCCTGAATACTCTTATTAAGGTGATAAAATGTGGGAAATGTTCTAACGAAGGGATCTTGAGAATGCGCCGTGCAGTTTGCTTTTAAGGTATTTAAGGGAACTGTATGAGCGCAACTCTCATTATGTTATTACAAACTTTTCTAGTAATAGTTGCAAGCATATCTGTGCAACGGGAGTCAGTTCAGGGAAGGCCTTTTGCAATTCAACTGAGCAGAAGATTCTTTCAGAGGTGCTTTGATAATGGCTTTTTCTTCTCTGACTCACCTTTCTTAATTAGGGACATTTAATTCGCCCCGAGTAAGGAACATGAGTCGGGACGGGATATCCGAGCCTGGATTCACATCAGATGAATAGGGGATTTTCTATCCCCAACCACCTAACCTCCAACAAATTCAAAAAGGGCCAATAAATAAGTCAGCATACTGAGGTATGAAGAAGCCTAAAAAGATAGGGGAAAAAGAAACTTTTGTTGTACCAGTTGTTTAGCATTGACAGTGTCAACGACGTAATACCCGAGTTTTCGTATCTTGAAGGAGAAATCTGTTCAGGAACCATAAAGATCATCCA